TTTCTTCTCATCACAAGCTTGATTTCATTCTTGCCAACATGGCGATGTCCTTGGCTTGGTGACCATTAACCCATGGTGTCATCCATTAGCCTCATCATAGTGGGACCTATTCCTTTTCACATCTCAAAGGAGAACATTAGTCTTAACAAATCGGTTGTCATCCTTCACTTGATGACCAACCGGTTGCATATGAAAGATATGGATATGTTTGTTGAGTATTCATTAACATCACAAGTGTCATATACTCGTATGCAAGCTCAAGTGCAAAGATCCGATATAAATAATAGGTGAACAACATGGATCTAAAACATGCACAATAAATGTATAGGATTTGCTCCCCCTAAGTATATGCATACAAAGAAATATACAAGAGAGACAAGTGTATGCATAAGTAAAGAAGAACCAATGGGGGTTTATCCTATACACATAGAGAAGGCATATGTAGTAATGATGAAGATAAACAAAAAAACACATATCTTCATGATCTCCATGTTCTCAATGTAAAGGAGACTAAATAAGATAAGACTCAAGTAAACATTAGTCTCACACTTATATAACAATAACATGGAAATCATATATATGAACCTATCAAAAAGTAGGAGATAAGAAGTGATACATATCGCTTTATCTCCATGAATTTCATTCTTGTCATGATTAAGGTCCATCACCAAAGAATGCATATCTACCACATCTCATTATCGGGAAATAACCTTGTTGAAAACTTATGTAAAAGAGAGGTTAATCCCATAAACATCGGTTTATCATCTATCACCAAAGTAACAATTACACAAATTGTTTAATCCAAGATCTTTCAATCTTTTCTCTCTTCTGTGATAGATAATAATCCGATATAAACAATACAAAGAGATGAGATGAAAGATAATTTCAAATCAAGGTAGAGATCTTATAATGAACAAAATATAGAATAAGCTCCCCCTCAAGATGTGCATACATATGGATATGAAGGAATGCATATGCACATAATCAATCAAGATCAATGAGGGAGCTCACACTATATTTTGGATCCACAAGAGAGACCAAGTTAGAATATGTGAAGTTTAATACATACCTCCCATCATTTTTACTTTTATATCCAAATAATACTAGTCAAAGAAAGACTCATAAAAACGTTAGTCTCATATAATTAGATTTGTCATTAATCACCGAAACCAAATTAAGGCACTTGAACTTACAGGGAGGCGGTGAGGGCTCGGTGCGTAAAGGTGGTCATAACTGTGTAAAAAAAATTGTGCCCAAATTTTTAGTAGCGTAAAATTGTGCCCAAAATTATCAAATGTGGCAAAAGAATGTAAGTTTTGAAACATTTTTTTTGTTGAAATTGTAGTTTTTCAAAATTGCAAGTTGCATGTATAAAATATGGGCAATAATAAGGTATGAATGTCTTTTTGCCAAAATTTAACATCGTTAACTTGTTCATCTAAAATAGAGCAAAACTTGGTTTCGTTTTTTTAAAAAAGGAGGGAAAACAAAACCCTAAAAATAGGGTCTAAAAACAAGGGCAAAATAAGTATTGTACATCAAATAAATGAATACGAAATTTCCACCATTGAATTAATACTTCCACCAAATTCATTGAACATTGACTATGGAAGCTTTTGATAAAAAAAAAACGTGACCTAATATCAAACAATTAAAATTAAAATGGATGAAGCTTTTAATCAAGATCGTTTACATGCATATCTTGATATTTGGATGCATATGTTACATTTGGAAAAATAATTTGTGTGCATTTCTTTTCTGCTGTTTATTACTGGAAAGAATCAGTGCCATAAAATGCTCTATCTGAAAAAGAAACGCAGGTAGTATCATTACCTTTATCATCACTTAGGCCTTGTTTAGTTGGGAAAAATTTTTAGGTTTGGTTGTCATATCACATATACGGACACACATTTGAAGTATTGACAAAACAAATTACAGATTCCGCCAGGAAACTGCGAGACGAATTTATTAAGCCTAATTAAGCCGACATTAGCAAATATTTACTGTAGCACCACATTGTCAAATCATGGCGCAATTAGGCTTAAAATATTCGTCTCGTAATTTGCACACAAACTGTGTAATTAGTTTTTCTTTTCCACATTTAATACTCCATACACATGTCCAAACATTTGATGTGGTGGGTGAAAAGTTTTTGTTTTGGGAAGTAAACAGCCCCCTATATTATTGAGAACCCGGGGAAAACATGCATTAGGGCATTCCCAACCCAATGACTAGGATGGTGTCCATAGCATTAAATAAGTTGTCACCTAGGAAAAAAAATGATGTGGCAAGTGAATAAATGAGGAAAGAGAAGGAAACCATGTCTTACACGAGACATGGTTTCTACACAACATCTAAGACATCATGTGAGATAAAGTAGCATTAAATTGAAGTATGGAATAGTGGTGTTTGCATTGGAAGAGTAGTGTCTAGTACTAGTTTCTATGGAAACCATATCCAGTGTTATGGGTTGGGACTGCCCTTATAAAAAAAGCAATTAAGGCGAAACATTGTTGATCTGTTCGTCACGGATGAGCAAAACGATGAGCTCGGCAAGCTGGAAGGCATCGTCGTTCTCCGCGGAGAGCGGCGACGTCACATTGCTCTTGCCGAACCCGTCCTGGCATTCCTTCACCGCGCTCGCCGATTTCTCCAGCGATGAGATCGCCTCCTGGAACATGCCTGCCTTCACCGTCGCGCCGACGGCGGCCTGAGATTACAGTATGCCGCCGTACACCGACTGGCATGACTAGAGGCACCGCGTCGCAGCGGCGTCGCCGCTGCCGTTCCGGAGCTTGCCGTCTATCTCAGACTTGGTGCTCGTCGCGTTGGCCGTGAGGAGGTCGACGGCGATCACCGCGAATTCCTTGTAGCTGCTGATGTTGCTGCTCCGGTTGTCGGAGCTGAGCGCGTCGATGCAGAACGTGACGCTGAGGAGCTCGCTGCCGCCGGCGATGGTCTTGCATGCACCGTACAGGAACGAGTTGGTGCCGGCGGCGAGCTGAGACGCAGCAATTAGGAGAACAGCGAAGAGGAAGAGAACACTGACGCCATTGTTAACATTGGAGGATGACGCCATTGTGGTTGTGGATTTGATCTTGGACCTTCTCTGTAAGATGATGTTGAATGAGATGGTTTTCTGGATGCCCTTGCGTGTCAATTACATAAGTACAGCATTTTGCATGGCATTCAATGACCTGATCGATCATCTCCAATCAATGATTCCGATATCAGATATCGGATCTGTAGAATCGATATCCCGTTAATTTCTCTGTTGCCAAATTTAGATGGTGTGTGTTGAGAGAAACTCTGGGTCTGTCAGAAATACCAAATGATTTTGAGGATGGCTTGAGGATGCTAAAGAAGAAACTAAAAACAAACCTCACAATTGTGTTCGTTGCTTGGTTCTGTTGGGGGATTTGGTTAAATAGAAATGAGTGGGTTTTTGAAAATAAAATTGCTAAATCACCTTTGCAGGTAGTCTACAAAGCCCTGGCGTGGGTGCAAAGATGGAAACTGCTACAAATGGAAGGAGATTGCCCAGACAAGTGGCATAAGGAGCTGATGGACAAGCTGCAGGAACCGGAGACCTTGCCTGATACTCTCTCCATCCCAAAAAAAAAACTTAACTTCTAGAGTTTAAATTTTATCCCACAAAAAACCAACTTCTACCATCCTACCTATCTTCAACACATAAAACGAGAAGTTTTATCTCTTAAATAATCTTTACCTACCTATCACCAGTACTACCTTTTCTATTGATGAGGGTCATTTTAGTCATTTTACTTCTCACTAAATTTGCCTTGGGATGCTAGGAATCCTCTTTTTATGGGATGGAGGGAGTATATCGTAGTTTCCTTTCTGCTGGGATTATTATGTGTCAATCTGTTGGGTTCTTTCTTTTTAAGATAATGGAAGCTTTATTGATCTCACTCAAAAGTTTTTGCTGGGATTAGTATGTGTCAGTCTGTTGGGTTCTTTCTTTTTAAGATAATGGAAGCTTTATTGATTTCACTCAAAAGTTTTGATAACACTCCCAGCCTCTGCACTACGATAGTGCACACAGCCAACACACTCAAAAGAAGAGAAAAAAACAGCTTGCAAGATCAAGACCCTACAAGGCTACAACCCAAATAATAGGTCGTCACCTATATACCGAGGTATAAAACTCATTGACACTTGCTTTAAATATAGACAAGTCGAAGTGACAAAACCCTACAAATTGGGCTTCTCGAGAATAACCCATGATCAGAGCCAATGTAGAGCCAATGTGTAATTAAGAAAATAACCTGCAAAGGAGAAGAAACAGTTTTCCTATAAAAACCACATCATTTCTTGAGAGCCAAATTACCTAGCAAGTTGTTACCGTCCCTATTAGGTCTAAACTCTTTCTTTTGTGGGGTTAGAGGTCTGGTCGTTTTGGTGTGGACTGCGCCGCATGGGAGGCAACAACATATTAGCGCTGTAGCGTGTCCGTTACCGGAGATGAATGCTCTTGGTTAGTTTATGAGCTTTGTATAACACCCTGTTTATTCCTGTTTGGCTTTCTCCCGAGAGCTGGGTAATGGAAGTTACATTTTATCAAAAAAAAAAAGAGTAAATTTCACTTTGGGCCTGATTTTTTGGCCAAAGTTTTACCATGAACCAAGTCTAACTCTACTTTTTCAGTTAGCACCAGGTATGATTACCTTCTTATATAGTTTGGACCGGGTACCAATACTTTTGGGCCAGCACGTTGGCTTGAGCTGGTGAACTCAGTTCAGGGCAGAGAGTTATCGAGGGAGACTAGCGCACGGGAAAGGAGGAAGATAGTGTCGTGGAGGTGGACTTGCTCAATGCCTCGATCTCCACCCTCGCAACCGGTGGCTCACGGCCGTGTCTCCGGAGCGGCATGGCGCGGCGGCGGCGTGCTCTTTTCTGGCTCCGAATTGGCATGGCGGCGCGCTCTTCAGCTCCAGTGTAGTGCTGGCGGAATGAATCAATGTTTGTTTCTGAATGAGTGTGCAAGTAAGATGGAGCTGTCCATTTTGCCACTAAAAACAAGCAGAGAGGTTCCAAGTTCCATATGTACATGTACCTGATGGTGAGGTACAATGAATTATCGGCACAACATGGCATTTCTGATAATTTCCCTTCCCAGTGCCTTCTCTTTAGTGGTACTTATCTACAGTACACAGAGCTAATAAATCCTACTCTAACTTGGTGAGGCTTTTGGCCTCCATTCTGCCGTGAGCTGAAGGAGCAGTGCGTGCACCCCCGTTGCCGGCACCGCGGTCGAGCAGGAGAAGAGCATGCATGCCGCCGCCCTGCCGCGCCGGAGCCGAAGAAGAGCACGCGCGGCCGTTGCGCCATGCCTCGCCAGAGCCAGAGACGTGCACACGGCCGCCGCGTCGTGCCACGCCGCCGCCGCATCGTGCCGCTCCGCAGGCGCAGGAGCCACCAGTGGTGAGGGTGGAGACCGAGGCGTTGAGAAAATCCGCCTCCGCGCCTCCACGGCACTATCTTCCTCTCCCATGCGCTAGTTTCCGTCGATAATTTCTCTTCCCTGAACTGAGTTCACTAGGCTCAGATCAAGCCAGCGTGGTGGCCCGAAGTCTTAAAACCCGGTCCAAATTGCAAAAGAAGGTAATCATACCTGGTGTTAACTGAAAAGGTCGAGTTAGACATAGTTCATGGTGAAACTTTGGTCAATAAAACAGGTCCAAAGTGAAATTTACTCAAAAAAAATCACATCCGGAGACACCGGCCATCTTGCCAAACCGTAATAGAGAAATTAACAGAGCTGCATTACCGCAAGAAAACAAAAGAGAGACTCATCACCATCCCCATATTATAGAAACATCATATCCATGGCTATCAAACAAAAAGGAGACGTGATCTCATTGATACCAAGTTCCTTTTTGATGCATTCTACATTTTTATCTGGTCAACTTAATAATTCCCATATCATTACTAATATCCAAACAAACAACTCGATGATTTCTTAGAAGCAATAAAGGGATATATTATAAATAAAGCGAGTTGTTCAAACTAAGCTTTAATTAAAACCATCCTTGGCCTAATGGGCTCTGATACAGTGGAATAATTAGCTTTTGATCACTATGAAATCCTGGGATGTCATTAAGGACAGAAACAGCGTCCCAACATGTTAGCCTGATAAACTTGTGCTAATTAAACGGCTAAACCAGAGCAAGATCAAACGAACAAATTGAGTAAGGAAAATGTAAGACTTGCATCTGTTCTGCTGCATTCGGCAACTCGCTGGCAACTGGCACGACCTGCAATGCGTGTTCACAAGAAACTTGTATGTTAGACCAACTTGCGTACCCTGAGATATCGTGTGTTACAATAGATTCTCTGTGTTCTTTAGAAAGACAAGGAAATAATCCAGACATGACAAAATAAAAGGCAGAGTAGGGATATATCTACAAAGGTGTTTATGTAGCACGCACTACTTGACAAATGCGAGGCATACCACCTGCATGTCTAATTGTAACAGACCAGATTTTTGTAATGGAGAAGTTACCCTCTTCTAAATTCTGTGCATAGTAATGAAAGTCTGAAACCAATAATTACTGATCAAAGCAAAATTGGTCATACCTTGTTTGGTTCACTAAATGAATTTTCATCCAGCAAGTTGCTGGATGTGAGAACAGTCACAGTTGATTTTGCCGTATCTACACCAGCTTGAAGTCCACTTGAAGATATTGTGAGGTTCACAGCATTTGGCCCGAAGTTTACTATCTGTGGAAGATCATTTGAAGATCAGGATGTTCTAAGATCCAAACATATTACTCCAGCAGTAATACATATAAAGACAGATGCATGTTATGCAAGTATGCATTGGCTGAATCAATTTTGTATCGTTGTAACTAAATCATTCCAAACAATAAGGCGCATGTCTAATGAATTGAACCAAATGCATATAAGTTTAGAAGAAACTGGAATGGATGGTTTACCTTCACTCTCAGAAAGGTATTCTCAGCGTCTTGCCAGGTGATTGCAGAGGCAGCCAATAAATCAGAGTAGCTGGAACTGATCATAATTGGATGAATCATAGCACCGCTTGATTCACGGAAATATGTCTGCATCCAATAACTAGGAGTTCCATACTGTTGCCAGGAGTTGAAGACAATCGCATCTGGGTTCCAGCTGGTTATCACATTTATACATTAGCAATAGTCAGAGAGGAAACAGATGCTAGAATCCTTGAACAAAGAAAGTATAAGACCATGTATACTAACACGCGATCGTTGTCATTCACGAAGAGTGGTGCATAACATGCCATCTGAACGACATCACTGCAAAGAAGCATGCATGATGAGAGCCAATTCAATAACTTGCAATAAGGAATTACTGTTGCTCAATGTAAATTTTTACAAATTATACATTTACTCAAAATATTTTCCTTGTGGAGAAGTACAAAGATGAGGTAGTAGTTGTCAAACAAAAATCAACAATTTATCCAGGAATCCCATTGAACGATCTCTTATATTCATGCATGGTCTGGATACAAGTAGACAACTCTGCGCATGATTTTATATTTACTCTGAACCCAAGATAAAGAATTAAGAGAGTATCCCCAGAGGGATCACCTATTTTTCTCTAAACCAATTAGGAAAGCAGCTTCTGCCAATGATGCAAGAAGGCTTCCATTGCCAGCATCCTCACCATTAACAGCATACTCACTTACAAATACCTGCAGTGAAACAATTGCATAGTCAGTGGTTCCTGCTCACTTATATTCTGTCTATCCAACATCAAAGGGTAATGAGATGAATAAATTGCCGGGCCGGCCAAGAAAGGCCAACCAAATTTACTTAAGATTGAAGAATATATACAAATATACAAAGTTATAACTTCAACAAGAAGCTGTCGAAGTAATGGAAGTTGTCACCGGAGCAACCTCCCAAAAGCAAAAGATTACACTAAGGGACTACTCTCCTATATTTCTGAAAACCCCAGCTTCCTTCCAAATCGCCACTTCCTCTTTGATTGAACCAAACAGGAAACCGGCTGAGCGCCGCTGGTTCTGAAACACACGCGCATTTCTTTCCTTCCAAACCATCCAACAAACATGGGAAAAGGAAGAACAGCGTCTTACGTTTTGCTATTCGATAGTTAGGCTTCTTCTCATGGGAAAAGGAAGAGAAGAAGAAGAACATGCTTGTTGTCATAATTACTAACTATGCTTGTTGTCAATCAATACCACAGCAGATTGCTCTAGAAGCGATCTGGAGTTCAAGTTATGAAGTACTAGTAGATTGCTCTAGTTTGGGATATTATTCAAGTTATCATATATTCTGATCTTATAGATTCAGTCTCAGTCATGGAAGAAGATGGAAGAAACTAATACCTAGAAACACTTTTTTTTCGAAATAACTAGAAGCATATTTCATTCAAGAAAATGTCGAGGATAATGGCGCATGAGAGAAGCTGCCTTTGTAAGACTGATCTAATCTAAGAACTTAATTTCCTATGGAGCGAATCTCCTAGTACCCAAGGTCCTGAGTTCAAATCTCCTATGGAGCGAATTTCAGATTGGGTTGTTTGTGGGGCTAAGTTCCCTATTTCAATGGCCGCATATATCCGGTTGGATGTAGAGGCCGGGTAAAAAATACCCTTCTCTAAAAAAAATAAAAAAAAGAACTTAATTTCCCAAAAGAAGCCACTTTATATCAAATTCATTACCTTTGGACCATTACGTGATGTCCTATCAAATTCATTCTTCTTGAAAAACACAGTGGATGCATTTTCATATATCTACAGAATAAATGTAACATTCTCAGAAATCTATGGAGAAAATGATCACATAACCAAGTCTGAAAAAAACCAGCAAGACAGAATTTAAAAATAGGGAGAATGATAGAAATAAATTAGTCTCAGTGAGTTGTTTACATGGTAGTCATAGAGATCGGCAGGATGATCAAGTGGCCCAGACGAGCCATCACAGTTTGAAATTATTTGGATGTCAGGATAAGCCTCTTTTATGGCGTTGTAGAACTTGGGATAATTTTCTGTTCAACAGAATTACATGGTTATATGATATCAAGGGAAAATTAGGATATTTATGATAGTAGTAGCCCATTTAAATGTACTGAAACAGCATTATACGTCGTAGCCAATTTGGCCTCAATCAAATGTAAAACTAATGAACCTTCTAGAAACTGGTAAAGTCTGTTTCGAAACATAACAGCAGACTGGTAAATTAACTTCTTGTTTTTCTTTTCATCTATTATTTTTTTTATAATGGAAATATTTTACATCCCTGGCCTCTGCCACAAGGCATGCAGCCAATTTTTTCATCTATTATTTCTCCAAAATATCTCCATTATGCAATCAGATAGTACTAAAAAGGGTGAAGTTAAATAAAATAGTGCTATTACCCTTGCAGATCGATAAAAAACAGAATGATGAATTTAGCCAATCATCGCAGCATTAACACGAAGGACAATACTATTTGTTTATTATGCAAAATTTACCTCGGTATATCAGCTTGAATGGAGCACAATCTTCATTCCCTAGTGCAACATACTTCAGTGGGAATGGTTCAGGGTGCCCCATCGTGGCTCTAACAGAGCCCCATGTTGATTTGTCACTCCCCTTTGCAAACTCAAGACTGTCAGTTGCATCCTGTAGCAAGAAAATCAAAGCATCTCGAAATAAGAAACATGGGATCACAATAAATGCAAGGCCTTATGTTAATATTCACATGTTACAACTGTTTTCTGTTACATCATGAGAAGTCCATCTTCATCTCATCCATACTTCAAAAAATGTAGGGCATCGAAAACATACCTTTATAAAAGGTGCGAGCATAGTTCCATTAACTGCATCATGGTGACTCATCCCTAATTACAAGATAAAAAACCCTGAGCAGTTCGTTGGTTTGTGCAAAGATTAAAAATACATTGAACAAGACAAATAGACACGATATTTACCAATGTTGAGCACCCATACAGGGTTAGCACCCAAGTCTTCAGCAAGCTTTCATGAACATTTTGAAGTAAACAAATGGTGAGATATGCCGAGACCAAAAGAAAAAACCCATTTCACATTAATCAACCCATACCTCGAGTAACTCATAATACCCAAGGCCATCATCCGTCCAGTAGTGCCAGACATCTCCATAGTGTCCAGGTCTCTCTTCCCATGGACCAATAGTTTCCTTCCACCTGAATGCATTTTTTAACCAATTGCCTTCGACAAAGCAACCCCCTGCCAAATGTAATGCGAGCGATTAAATTACAGGGCAACCGAAATTGATTGCCAGTTGGAAAACATTCGAAATACCAGGAAACCGTAGAAACCGTGGTTTTAAGTCCAAAAGCATGTACATGAGTTCCTTGCGAAAACCATGGCCCTGCATATGTAGAAGAAAAATGTCGATCAACAACTCCTATGGACTCATAGTAAGCAAATGTAGATTAAGGAACAATAACTCGATCTGCCATCTCTACGGGATTACTGATTACAGATAAGTTAATTTACTTTTTTTTCTTGTCAGATAGCAATGTGAATAAATTGATAATTTTTATGATGACCTTTTTAAATAAGTTTGAATAATATCAAATAGCAGACATGATTTGAACAGGGTGTCCATTGAACCTGGCATGGTGTAGTGGCTAAAATCTTTGGGGTCAGTGCATGAATTCTATTCTCCATTCTTCACAAGATGATACCGGATTCCAGATCAAGCTATGATGACAGTAGCAATAAAAAAGTAAAAGACAGTGCACCTTGTATGTTTCTGAAGGCATAAGTGACACCTGATCAAGCCATATTACTCCCCTTTTCCTAGTTGTTAGTTCAAGTCTTGAAGTTCTGCATGTCCCTTGAGCTAGTAACTGTAGCTCTATCTTTGTCCAAGTTGACAAATTAGTTTCTCTGCAGAAATTTGATGTACAATCCTTTCGGTTAGCGAGCGAACGAGCGAGAGAGATTGAAAAACCTTTTTTATCTCAGTGTTACGGAAAAAATATATACCGAACAGAATTTGATGCAAGATTTTGCGATCCATTTGAGCATGTGAGTGAAGCTGTCAACTCCACCGATTCTAATGATCTGATATGCATGACCAGATTATATGCCTTTCCTTCTTCTACATTCTGAAAATTGAAATGATCATATTCGTCACAAAACCAGAAGGTAAAATCCCATTAAAATATGAGAAGGTAAAATGAAAACGGTTCGAAGAAAAGCTATAGATTACACTTTTCCAAGAGCAATGCACAACAATCTGATAAAAAACCAGCATTATGCAAGGAAAAGATAAATGCAAATTGAAATCAAACAAAAAATAGGTTAGCTTAATTATTTGTTTTCTTCACCATTTCGAACAGAATAAATAACTTTGCTATAGTTTCTTTCTGTGGCAGCACTGTTTATTGTAAACTGTCGTAAAAAAAAAGGATACTACTTTCAATTACAAGCTCTATTTTGCATATTATTCATATAGGAATGCACTTATAAAAATGGATAGAACTCATACCATGCCCCAAAATCCTGGATTGTAAATTCCAACACCACCGGCTGGACAATCGTCACAGACAACCTCTATCCTTACAGCAACAGGATTTTGACTGAAACAGGATGAGCGATCAGTTGTCACGTGAACAGAGGATTCATCTCCAATGATGGACCATGGGTCAATGTTTGATGTGTTGGCTCCAGCTTCAAAACCTAAAGCAAGAAATTAGACAAAAAATCAGTTAAAGTTAAACTCCAAATATTATTATTTATTTATTTATTGAGGGGGGAAAATGTTTTCTTATTCAACATTGCTATACATCAGCCGGTTGATTTCTCCTCAAAAATCCTTGCATTTGCCATACATGAGGTGATTGATTTCTCCCCAAATATTCTTGGCAGTAGATCACAAATCCAAACCATCCATGTTGCTTCTTCAACCTCAAGCCTTCGTTACTCACTCTCACACACACCACCCCCACCAAAACGAGGTCGAGCTGGCCGGTGAATCCCGAGCATCCCTGCGCCGATGAGCCTCCTCCTCCTCCTTTTGGCTTTCTTCCCCGGCGAGAGAGGGCGAATGGATTAGGATATTGGGTTGGGGTGGGGCCGTGGAGTGGATCTGGCGGGGTATAGAGGGGTTGTGGAGGGAGGAGCAGTTCATCGGGGCTTCGTATACAGGGAGGGGAGGCCTTGGGCGGTGGGTGAGGAGGCGGCGGATCCGGCCGCGAGAGACGCCGGAGATGGTGCAGGTGCAGGTGCGGGGAGGGAGGAGGCAGGAGGGAATCGTTCAAGAGGAGAGAGAGAGAGAGAGAGAGTAGCCATGAGCTGGAGGTTGAAGACGATCCATCAACCGTTGGATGGCCATCCAACGGCTGACAGCACTCCACTGCTCTCTTCTTCTTTAATTTAAGAGTGAATTAAACTTAGTGCCATGTTTTATCGCCAAAATTTCAATTTGCAACACCATATACCCAATCTCTTTACTTTGAATAGGTACTTTTACCTTTGTTGCATAATGAACCACCCTAACTCTATTTGCTAGCCATGTCTATTGTTTCCTTTGGCAAAGATATGGCATGCGTATAGGTATGAAAATTCGCCAGCATATCGTTAACGATTTGCTCAGAGTCATTGAAGTGCTGAAGATGTGGATTGGAGTATCTATTATACAACAAAAGGTAAAGTTACTTAGTCCAAAGTGAAAAAATTGGAAACAAAGGGTGATCCAAAATAATTTTTTTAAAAAAATATAGTCCAAAGTGAAATTAACTCTTGATTTAATGTTCAACTTCACCAGAGAAGAGTTCTCAAAGAGAAAAAAAAATAGAGAGAAGATAAAAAGAGAGACAAATCGTGTCAATGAACTGGAGGTTGAAGACCAATCAGCCGTTGAATGGACATCCAACGGCTGATACCACTCCACTGCTCTCTTCTTTAATTTAATGGTCAATTTCAGCTCGGAAGCCAAATAAAATACTACCTCCATCCCAAAATGTTTGACGCCGTTGACTTTTTTAAAAATGTTTGACCGTTCGTCTTATTCAAAAAATTTAAGTAATTGTTAATTCTTTTCCTATCATTTGATTTATTGTTAAATATACTTTTATGTATACGTCTAGTTTTATACATTTTACAAAAGTTTTTGAATAAGACGAACAGTCAAACATATTTAAAAAAATTAACGGCGTCAAATATTTAGGAAAGGAGGGAGTAGTACTATAATGTGGTGTTACCTCTGTTACTGACGAGTTCAGCCCAAAGGCCACCACTTCCAGCGTGGTTAATCTCCTGCACAAATAATAATAATGCAGATTTTGATAAAGAAAAGAAAAGCAAGCATCCACAGGAGAAGAAATGGAAAAGAAAGAAAAGAGACGTAGCTAGTCTCACCTCGAAGAAGAGGCCGAACAAAGTGTCCGGCATTCTTCGAGCGACAGAGTAATCCACATGGAGAGACGCCGTCTCCAACGTCTCGGCTTCGCATCTGCTGCTGCCGCCGCCGACGAAGAACAGAACGAGGAAGACGACGACGACGACAATGGCTTGCCTGGACAGCATGCTCGTCGTCGCCGGCGGCCACACTCTCATCATTCTGCGACTGCGATGACAATGGATTGGATTGTGTTGCTACTTGCTAGAGGGAGGCTTGAGTTAGTATGATATATTGATATGAACTACACTACTTGCTAGGCTGCTAGCTGGTGTAGTAGTGTATTAGACGACACGATCCAACCTGATTATTCGAGGTTGCTCGATATCTACTGCTGGAAATTGCTCTAGTTAGATACAGTAAGTCGCTAAAATTGCCAACAAGTAGTAGTTCATTCACATGGGTTCCAGTAAAAATGTACAGCCATAGCCCATGTTTTCTTCCTTTTTTCCTCTTCTTTATCTGCTCATCTTGATTCATTTCACAGAAATTCCTCTGCCAGATGGAGGCTTCAGTTAGTGTAACATGAACTACACTACTTGAGTTACACGAAACGATCCAAAATGATTATTCGAGGTTGCACGATCTACTACTGGAAAATGCTTTAGTTAGACAGAGTCAGTCAACTTGCTAAAATTGCCAACAAGTTACTAGTTCACTTCACAAGTTCACATGGGTTCCAGCCAAAAATGTACAGCCAGCCCATGCATATTTTCTTCCATTTTCCTCTTCTTTATCTGCTCATCTTGATTCATTCGACAGAAATATATCGAGGAAGACGAATAAGCACAAGCATTTCTATTGCTAACCCCGTGCGCGTTGCAGCTGCACATCTCTGCCACCACTTTGGACCGGCCCAGACCAAGATCGAATGAGGACCAAGTGACACTTGCATCTGCTCCTGCATCGAAGCTATGGCTTGAGATGGCCAAAACCACCTATTCTACCACACATTGACTTGTGCATTACATCCAGAGATAAAAGTAGAAAACAGTTGCTTACCTTATCCGGGGTTACTGACACAGTTCTCATCTATGCACACGACACAAGTTTCCCTCTTCCAACCTTTTCTTCTCATCATCATTTTATCAATATACCTAATGGGGAACATTCCAGATTTACAGGGAAACATATCCACAAATAATCAACATCCATCCTAATAGGGATTGGACTCCATTTGGATCTGCTCAATCCTAAATTCAAATTCTTAGCCCATAATCTGAGCCTTAATTTTTCTCAAGTTTAAATGCCAACTTCAGTTCACAAATCCTTAAATCAAATTCAGATATTCTCTACAAATTTGTTATCCTTGAACCAAATTATTCTCTCTTTCCCAGGCTAAAGAGCCCATATTTGTTATCCTTGGAACAAAGCAACACGGTGGCAATGCGCCATCTAGTCTCATCCGATACAAATATGGAGAAAGCAAAAAAAAGAAAAAAAAAAGAAAAGAAACGAAACGAAAAGAAGAAAGTAAGCCTGGAGTGAATTTTATTCATCATTTCCTGTGTATTACACTATACAGTAGTGCTTCAAGATACATGCACATATATGGACTGCATTCTGGTATTCGCATATCACATCTCGTGTATTTCTTGTGTTTCTGTCGCTAACCTTGTGTTCCTGCTTCACATCTCTGCCACGAGTTTGGACTGGGCAAGCGCAAGATCGAATGAGGAGAAAGAGTGAGGAGCAAGCGTGACTTGCATCTGCTCTGCTGCATTGGAAAGCTGGCTTTTGACAGGAACAACCTGCATTGGTTATCATGAGCAAAGCTTTGGCTTCAGATGACCAAAACCACAAACTCTACTAGACATTGATATGTGCATTACATCCAGTAAGAAATCAGAAATGTTTGCTTACCTTATTCGGGTTACTAAAAGAGTTCTCATCCATCACATTGCTGGATGTGATAACAGTGGCAGTTGATCCCAGTGCGTTAACACGGGCCTGAAGCCCAGTTGCAGAGATCGTGAGGCTCACTGGATCAGACCCAAAGTTTATAATCTGCACAGGAGATTTCAAGATCAATCCATGAGGTACGCAATTCTCCTACAGATGTAGAGTAGGTTTATAACAAAATTTCTTGCCTTTACTCTTAAGAAGCTATTTTCAGAATCCTGCCAAGTAATTGCAGATGCTGCCAGAGAACCAGAGTAGCTGGAAGTGATTGTAATTGGATGAAACATAGCACCGCTAGATTCACGGAAAAGAGTCTGCATCCAGTAACTAGGAGTTCCGTATTGTTGCCAGGAGTTAAATACAATGGCGTCTGGGTTCCACCTGATTGTTTGATTGAAGCATTATTACAGTACTTGTTAAATAAACAAAAACACAAATAAAGAAACCATGGAGCCATCAAAACTAACGTTTGATCATTGTTGTTCACGAACAGTGGTGCATAACTTGCCATCTGAACAACATCACTGCAAAGAACCAACAAGAAGTTACAGTAAATATCTCATTGCATTTGTTAGTAGATCTTAATAAAGCCCTACGCAGGAAAGCTCAAATGTGATCTGTCACACGACCCGGAAAGAAAAGATTGTTTCAAGGAAAGATAACCTATTCTTCTCCAGTCCAGTAAGGAAAGCAGCTTCTGCCAATGAAGCAAGTAGACTTCCTCTACCTGCATCACTTCTCCAAACAGCATATTCACTGACAAAAGCCTGCAACCAAAACATATATGAAGAAATATATTTAATGGCCAATAGGGATGAGAAGAGATAAATAGGCAGCACATCTGTAAAGATAGAAGTGAATAAGCAAGAGAAGCAATGAGATTCCAAAATTATCCAAAACATGGAAAAAATCATCACACGTGACATAGATGAACTGTGGATGTTACTGAATTGTTGTTAAAACATAGATGGCCAAGGTCATCCTACGAATATACCAAGAGAAGTCCTGGATTATTAATGTAAAATATAAATGAAAGATGGGAGATTCACAGTGCTGTTTTACAAGCATCTCCATAAATGAAAAGGTTCACACAGCAATGAAAGTCCAGGTATACAACATACCTTGGGCCCATTACGAGATGATCTATCAAATGCACTCTTCATCGAAAACAAAGTCTTAGAATCAGTATAGACCTAGAGAAAAAGGAATTATTAGAATTTAATAAATGGGAAAAACCTTGACATTGGTGACAGAATGAGAAGTACTGCATAACAGAACTCCAGAGGATGAGTAGTTTACATGGAAGTCATATAAATCAGCAGGATGGTCAAGTGGTCTTGATGAAGCATCACAATTTGAAATCATTTGAATGTCCGGATAGGCCTCCCTTATAGCATTATAAAACTTGAGGTAATTACCTGTATAACGGATAAGAGAACATCATGCATATACCTAAAAGGAGAACTCAACAGTTGCTCTCCACACAGTTCAAGTAAAACTTGTGCAGTACCATTGGGGATTATGATCAAACATAAAAAAATTGCATCCCAATTTTTTTAAAAAATAATGAAAATAACCACATTTTAGTAGTTTTTGCTTCCAGGACTTGTTTTTATGTATTACTAATCCTACTTTATTTGCAACGATAAAAAATAACAACGTATATTACTGTGAGTATAAAAGAGGAAAAAGAACATATGACATAAAAAAATTAATATTATATACTAATTGAAATAGTGTAAGAAACAAATGTCACCTTGTAAGGTTTTTCTATGGAGATTTTATGTGACTAAATTAATGAACGACTTCTCAGGAAACAGAAACAGCATCATAAAGAAGTTGTGGACTATATTTCCCTCTGGTTCATGTAGAGATTTATTTTATTGAGCTAATATTATTTGAAATACACGTCCAATCACAAAATCAAAGCCCAGTATTGAAAGTGGATAGAGAGTGAGTTGAGTGACTAAATCCATAAAATATATTTTACATAATTAGCATGGTTCATGTGCATATCCTTTTCCTCGATCATACACCTTCTTAATTATCCAGACAAGCCTCTTCAACTTATGCAGTTATATGGTCAAGTGGATAAAATATGAAATTGGATGAGGAATATACCGCGGTAAAATTTTTTCCCACAATCTTCATTTCCAATTGCAACGTATTTGACAGGGAATGGTTCAGGGTGCCCCATTGCAGCTCTAACAGAACCCCATGTCGAATCTGCACTCCCCCTTGCAAATTCTAGACTGTCCAATACGTCCTGTAGAGAGACAGGAGACGTTCCCAAAACAAAAGTGGTGTTATGATAACTACCATAGTCTCAATTAAGGAAAAGATATTTGGTATTTTCTTGGATAGGTACGTTACCGTCTCAATTCAGGAAAAGTAGATCAGAATGCAAATTCAGGTTAAACATCATCACTGCTTGTGAACTTTGTGAAAATTTTTTAAAGAACTCTCTGAACTAATAGTGTAAAAGAACAAGCCCAAACCATCCTTTATTTTACACAGAAAATCAGCTCTATTTCAATCATGAGAAAACAAGGCAAGAGTTTTAGCATCAGTCAATGAGACACATCATATGCAGTTGCATTCTTAGGATCTGCACAACGAAGATCCTTAATATTTAGATATACAAAGATAAAAGATGGAACACTACTACGATGGTAGTGAAGATAGTATCAATTTTCTCACATTCCATATCCATAGTAATGCCCAGTCATAGCTAGGATGTTGCAGGTAAATTTTAAAGTGGAAACAATTTAGCGAATCAAGGTGCATCTGACTTAACAGAAAATAAACCAGGGAGTTCAGAACATACTTTTACAAAAGGAGCAATTGCAGCAGTATCAACTTCATCATTATGGCTGATTCCTGATATATAAAAGAGTTTAGTAGCAATTAAGGAGGTCAGCTGTGGCGATAAAGATATAAAAAATATGGCAATTATTACCATTGTTAAACACCCAGATTGGGGCAGCGCCCAGGTCCTCAGAAAGCTTTGATGTAGAGTTCAAATTTTTCATTAGAAAAAAAAATAGAATTCAAAGGCAATATATGATTAGGGAGTGATAAGAAAATGAAGGGCGGAAATAATGTCAACTAAACTGGTACCTGGAGAAACTCATAATATCCAAGGCCATCATCAGTCCAGTAATGCCAAACATCCCCAAAGTGTCCAGGCCTCTCTTCCCATGGACCAATAGATTCCCTCCACCTGAATGCGTTTCTTAACCATTCACCCTCCACGAAGCAACCTCCTACAATTGTTTGAATGGAAATCAAGTCAATTATCCCAGACACGTCTGACATATATGTGCAGATATCAAGAACTTGATT